GCTTCGTAATAATATGCTCTTGTATGTATGTACGTGCACGAAAACGAAATCGGAACACCGGCATAAATGAAAAATGCCGGTCAGATGTGATGCTTTCGCTATTAGTGTGTATCACACGCCGGATTCTAACACCTAGCCAGATATTTGAGCCGCCTATAATGATACTGCCGAGTGGACTCGTTTGCTAATTGGCGGCCAATAAAACCTGTTCTCGCTGCCTGCTCCACGGAAAACTAGATATGAAACATTGTTTGCTTTCAGTAAAGACCGGATATTTCGTTTTGATACATAGTTTTAGAGGGTCTGAACACAAATATTAGCACCTGTCAAGATGAAGCGGCTTTTCATTTTATTATCGTTATAATCGTGAATGTAGTTCATATTAGAACGTGTTCACCTTACATTATAACTGTAACGCAAGTGTCCGCATTCAAATTCACATGTGCATGTGAGATTTGATGTGATAACCTTCAACATTATAGTTTTCTCCTCTAGTATTTAGATTTTGAAATAAATTAGCGCGAATTTTAGCCCGCTTTCCAGGCATGAGCCCGAGGCTGTGAGACTATGAAAAAATTATTACTGTTGCAGGGCCAGCAATTCTTACTGGGCGTTGGAAAGCATTCCATTCTACCCTCAACTCTTGCCCACCGTATCAATTTTGATATGCTTAAAGGAAAAGTTGCTGTACGGTTCTCAGTTTCGTCGTCCTGTACGAGTGCAGCGGATAAGCACATAAAAATGGTCACACTGTGCACTTTTGGTTAGAATTGTGAAACCTCGCACACGCGTACTAGACCTAGCTACTTGAGGTTCTGAAGATTTTCTGATATAAAGCGCTTGTGAGAATAATCTTTCCGACAGGTATACCTGCGCAGATAGAAAGTGACGACGGATAACAATCTATGTACAGTTGCCGCCGGTTGCAGTAAACAGACGCGCATATAACGTTGAGGCCCCGTAGAATAACTACAGGGGACAGAGATTGACTATGGGTACACTGAACCTGAGTTTCAAACAGTTGCCTGCTAAATGCATGACTGATGCTAAAAACAACGTGTAAACTATACTATCTGTTGCTTCTACGGCGTGTTGCTAAACCTGGTAAAATTGCTACAATAACAGGTAACGCCCTAAAAGAAATCATCGCTACCACCATCATCATCATCATCATCATCATCATCATCATCATAATCATCATCGTCGTCGTCATCAGCATCAGCATCATCATCCGCATCAGCATCATCATCCGCATCAGCATCAGCATCATAATAATAATTATTATTATAATTAGCATCATCATCATTATCATCAGCAAGTTACCAACAATAAGAACAACAAAAACAATTACGACGACGACAACAACAACAACAACAACAACAACAACAACAACAACAACAACAACAACAACAGACGTACCTGGGCTGCTGGCGGTCCTGCGTTTACAGCTACACGCAAATCTCCTGTAGCGAGAATCGCCAAGAATCACAATCATCGCCAACAGCAGTCCCTTGGCCGTCAGTACCCAGATGGCGACATGTTCCACTAGTGTCCGGTAGGGGGCGATAGTGGGCAGCGACACGGCGCCTAGGATGCTCACTGCCTGCAATGAACGCACAACACGCGTTAGTAATGTAATACATATAGCTGACTTACAACAGTAGTCTGCTCAAAATTTCTCACCAATGTTGCAATATTTCGTGCCTGGAAAATGCCTCTTTTGAAACGGGATCAGACTACATTGTAGAAATGCGCATCATTTAGCTGCCAAAAGTTTCGAGCGGAGTTTAGACCTTGAATCTGTGGTTATTTAACATGAATAAAGTCTATGTTGTGTACGCGACGAAACTCTCTGAGTATTTTTAATTCATTTCTGTTTGATACTCATTCAGGCCTGCTGCCTATGGACGTCCTCTACTGTTGTACAGCCACTATAGAGTTGTACAGCTCGTTGATATTCACAGACATACACATCAGTGTTCGACATTTAGTTAACGGTAGCAAGAACAGTAGCATAGCATTAACAATGGAGAGGAAGGAGGTAATGATATGACCAACAGTGGGCGGTTGTATGAATAATTAGGTGCTGGTACTGGCACTAGTAGGCAGCCGGGAGGTTGTACCACCTGCCCTTTGCGCGATATGTCAGCCTACATGCCATAGTAGCAGATAATACCTGTATGAGTAAATACCCAAAAACACAAACGCCGATGAGTCCCACAATTAGTGACATATTTCAATCAAATCCCAAATTAACGTAATCGTAGTAATGGGTTTCTATCTGGTATTGCTACCAATCTGCTGCCATCATTCGTCGTGTCTCTGACATGTCTATTTGTTTGTAGTGCAGATTACAATAGCGTACGCGACGATAGAGATATGTCGTAAAACAGATCCGTATGATTTGTTGAGGCAGTCTGACATGCGGAGATAGATAAAGGTGACGGGAGGAAGGGAGAGAGAGAACGCGGAGAGGCCGCGAGCGAGAGAGAGAGAGAGAGAGAGAGAGAGAGAGAGAGAGAAAGAGAGAGAGAGAGAGACAGAGAGAGATAGAGAGGGAGAGAGAGAGGAGCGACGCGAGGGCGGGATAGAGAGAAGAAAGAGCAAAGAAAGATACATCGAACGAGAGGGCAACGTCCATCATATGCCATCTAGAACAATTTCTACTGTTGGGAGTTTTACCCGGCGGTGATTATTTGTGCATTTACTGTGCGCCGAAATAAATCACCTGAAAGCCGCCTGTTGTTTAGAGTCTGCGTCGCCTGTGGGTCAGGCGAGTTCACCATGGTAACAGCGCAGCAACAGACGATCTCGGGACACAAACCTCTAAAACTGGATGCATGCCTTCTCTTCTCTAGGCTTTTAGTCACATTTGTATTGTCAAGAATCTCTTTACACGCCTTTAGAAGCGGTCTTTTCTCATGCGAACGCTGCGGGCGTTTTCTAAACTTACTTGTTTCTAAAGATTGCAAATATTGCTGTTGAAATACTTCGAGACACAGTTAATCGTTACAGCATTGGAGCTAAAAGTAGTCCGGTGACAGAATTGCACTGTTTTTATTTGTAAATACATATTTATTGCACATACACCGCGTTGTGTTTACAAACTCTGTATTTATGTAAACAAATATATAAACCCCAAATTGAGGCCGATGCCTAATCGATGTATCCGCACAAATATTTCACCAGGAAGTAAAACTGCGTGAGTAATTTTGTAGACCGCAAACAGAACCCCCTCTATGCAGTGATGTTGCAAGATGACATTTGATGTTGCTCACTAAATCCATCTCACCCCAAGTAACACGACCCATAACTGATAATCGACGCACCTAAACGCGTGGGAGAAAGACTGAGAAGAAAGACGTTTTTCTACAAGCATTTGAGTACGTATGTTCCAAGCGTATAAGGCCGAAAGCGACCTTTCCTCTTCGCTGTATGGCTAGAGTTCTCTTTCTGGATTCGTTCCACGATTACCGCAGTTAATACAGCGCTTGGGATTTGGCAGTAAATTCGCAGCTTGTGAGACTAATCTTGAAGGCCACTGGCCGAGGACGGATTAAACCTACCACAATTCACTGCGTTATATCACTTGGTTAAACTTCAATTGCGGTGCCTAAGTAGGCGAAAAGAACTAGAAAATTAATTCTCGCACGCTAATCCTTCGGGTACTGTTTGAAAACGGCTCTCGCTCCCTCTTGCAGCATCTGCTAGTCTTAGCGTACTACTATCATTCTCTCTCTCTCTCTCTCTCCTTCTCATCCGATCTCTCTGCTCTTCTCTCTCTTCTCTTTCCTCTCTCTCTCTCTTCTCTCTCTCTGCTTCTCATTCGTCTTCTCTCATTCCTCTCCCTCTCTCTCTCTCTCTCTCTCTCTCTCTCTCTCGTCACTCTCTCTCTTCTCGTCTCTCTCTTCTCTCTCGCGTCCTGGCTGTCTGTGTGCTCTGTCTGTCTGTCCTGACTCTGTCTCTGCTTGCTCGGTTCCCCCTCTCTCTATCTTCGACGAGCGATCGTCACAGTCCTATACCCCACTCTTACCGGCCGACCTTCACCCGCCTCTCTCGTCTCTCTCGCTCTCTCTCTCTTCTCTCTCTCTCTCTCTGCTCTCTCTTTCTCTCTCTCTCGTCTCTCTCTCTTTCTCTCATCTCTCCTCTCTCTCTCGTCTCTCTCCGTCTGTCTGTCCTGTCCTGTCGTGTCTGACTCCTGTCTCCTCTCTCTCTCTTCTATTGTAACCATCCGTTCGGCGTTCTCCGCTACGCCGCTCCATCCATACCATCCATCCATCCATCTCATCCATCCATCCATCCATCCATCCCTATCATCCATCCATCATCCATCCCATTCCATCCACCATCCCATCCATCCACTCCATCCATCCATCCTCCATGCCATCCATCCATCCCTCCATCCATCAGCCATACCTCCATACCATCCATCCATCCATCCAATCCATACCATTCATATCTCATCCATCCATCCATCCATCCATCCCATCTATGTGAGTCTACTCTACTCTTTTGACATTTTGTCTTCCGTTTGTCTCTCCATCCCCCACCACCTCTCACGAGGTACGTGACTACTCGGCGCGTATAGCATGTTATAGCTTTCCTGGTCGCGGACCAGTCCTCCACCGATCCATGGCCACATGGTGGGCGGATGCTCGCGCCATTTTTCCACGATTTCGCCATTGTTATGCATGAGAAACATCTGTTCCGCACAATTCGCGAGGGTAATTGTATGCGAATTAATTCACCAAAAAAAAAAGAAGATTTGGCCCTTTTAAAGGGGGTCTTTCTGATGTTATTAATAGACGAGCGCATGCGAAAAAAAGAACAAAACAGTAACAATCATCAAGACATATTTTGTCGCACGCACAAGCAGCTAAGTAAGCGCAAAGAACTAAAAAGGATTTCTCGCACGCTAACAACCTTCGGGTACAAATAGTTGAAAACGCTCTGCGCTCCCTCCTGCTGCTTTACTACTATGCTATCTCTCTCTCTTGTCATTCCTCTCCCTCTCCCTGTCTCTCTCTCTCTGCTCTCTCTCTTCTCTCTCTCTCTCTCTCTCCGCTCTCTCTCTCTCTCTCCTCTTTTCCTCTCTGTCTGTGTTTCTGTCTGTCTGTGTCTCTGTCTGTCTGTCTGACTCTGTCTTTTTCTCTCTCTCTCTCTCTCGCTCTCTCACCTCATCTTCACTTTCTATCCCACATCGTTCCCCACTCTTACGCCGTCTTGCCTCTGTCCCTCGTCGCGGTTCAAGTCGGAGTATCAGACCTCACTCAATGAGTAAAGATCGCCTTGCTTACGGGCCTGGGACAAGTACTTACTAATCAATACAAGTTGACAATCCATTCGATCATGGCGAGGTTCGTTCGACTGTCGTAGTAATTTTGCGCTCACACGGAAGCAAGACGTCTACCTATGGAATACGCCGCATACACGCATGCATGCGTTCAATCACTCACAGACACATCGCCTCCCAACACGACGTCGTCCCGCACTAGCCGCGAGATGGCGCTTACCCTCTGATGTAGCCGCGAGATGGCGCTTACCCTCTGATGTAGCCGCGAGATGGCGCTTACCCTCTGATGTAGCAGCGCGATGGGGTACCTACCGTGAGTGAACATGGAAGAGCAGGTAGTCGGACGACGACCAGGTGTGACGACGAGTCCCACTGGTCAGCGTCGCTATCGGTTGCTCTGTCCGCCTCGCGGTCCGCGTCACGTGACTCCCGTTCCGTCTCTCCCAGCTTCCCTCAACACCCTCCTCTAGGCGGAGGGTGAGTTTTGAGGTAGAGCTGGTGACGTCACCGTCGCGCGAGCGGTGTTCGACGATGCCTCGACCGTCGAACTTTGACCCGCCGCCCCGCAGCGCACGCCCTGCGCTGTGGCGGGCGCGCCTCAACCGCGCGCACTGCCCGGCAGAGCAGCGCCGAGCCGCCGAAAGTCGCCACCAGGAGGAGCGCGTAGATGGCGACGGCGGAGGCGGCGTAGCCGAACGAGAAGTCGTAGAGGAGGAACTGGCAGTGGTCGGTGTCGCCGCGGTCGCGCAGGAACGTCGGCACGGCGCCGACGAAGCCGCAGGCGACGGCCGTCGCTCCGATGTGAATAGCGCACCTGCGCCTGATTCACGAAGTACTTGTACCTCGGGCGGCACGACCACGATTAGGCGTCGTTTGTCACTGGCCCCGTCGAAGAACTCGTTTAAACTGGCAAGCGGGAGGTGGAGTCGTCGTGCCGACGAGCTGGCTTAGGGGTGGAGAGGGGGGAGGGGGTAATCACAACAAAGAGCATTAGTACTCTATGAGACAGGCTCGTTAGCCTAGAAGATTCGGGAGGGGGTGATAGAATGATAGGATGAGCTCGTATGAGTGTGAGCACGTGTATGATGTTGTTTAAACGTACTGAGAATCAGGTAGCGTGTGGCTTAATCCAGCCAACCTTCACCTATAGCCTACATACTTATATCGCGCCACAATATCCGACAAGCACATATATCGATCATCAAGCTCTCGCTGATTTTAAGCCTTTCCCCTCTTCCCAAAATAAAATCGTGTAAAGAAAAATCACCTCATAAACACATTAAATTCAAGAAAATCAACGAAAATCACCTTAAATCAAGGAAAATCACCTTAAATCAAGGAAAACCACGTTGCTTATAACTTTATACGAGTCTATTACCCGCGGCAGCCACTTTCATCTAAGCCCCTGGTTCCCAACCGGGGGTACTAGTACCCCATGGGGGTACCAGCGAACACCACACGGGGTACCTGGGAAGCCTCTTAGACAATTTAAAAAAAGTAGTGCTATATAATAATCAGCGGGTGATTCAGGCATCTCTATCGACATCGGCTTGATTGGAAAAATTCGCCGTGCGACTGCATTAATAAAACATAAACATGATGTCAAAATATTCATGACAATACATCAGTGTTGGTTCTTCATTTTGCTTATGGTGGGCGAAGGGGTACCAGGAGATAGCGTAAAAAAATTAGGGGTACGGGGAGTCCAAAAGGTTAGGAACCACTGATCTAAGCAATGACTTACCTGAACTCCCAGTGGACGGCGTAGATTCGATCCAAGATGGCGGACGCGGCCGTCGCCGCCTGTAGGAATACGACAGCCGTGAAGCTCCAGGTTAGGCCCCCGCATAGCTGCGGCAGCCACTCCCACTTCATCACCTGCACGAATGAGTAGATGATCCCGGGAAGGAACGCGCCGATCCCCGCCTCGACGAGCAGCGACAGCACGAACTTCTGCACCGACCGACAGTCGCTGTTCACCTTACACCTGCCGACGACGACGCCGACGACGACGCTGACGATGACGACGAGTCCGGAGACGGCGACCAGTGCGATGTTGCTGTACCACAGCACCGCGTCGCTGCCGAACCCCGACATGACAGCGAATATCGGCTGTCAACTAACAACACCGTCACCGCCGCACACACACACACCACGGCGACGCACGCGGTAAGCTGCCTCGCTACTGTAGCCGACTGTTGTGTCAAAGCAGGAAACACGACGCGAGTGCGCGGTCACGTCTGTCGCGTGACATACAGCCGCGCGTAGGTGACACGCCTAACGACGACAGAGAGCGCCGTGGCGACTGCTGCGGTTACACGAAACAGGCGACAATGACGGTGTGAGGGAGTGTCCAACCAGCACATATCCCGCTCTCCTCTCTCTCTGTCTCTCTGTCTCTCTCTCTCTCTCTCTCTCTGTCTCTCTGTCTCTCTCTCTGTCTCTCTGTCTCTCTCTCTCTCTCTCTCTCTCTCTCTCTCTCTCGCTCTCTCTCTCTCTGTCTCTCTGTCTCTCTCTCTCTCTCTCTCTCTCTCTCTATGTCTCTCTCTCTCTCCCTCGCTCTCGCTATCGCACTCTCTCTCTCACCCCACCTGCTGCACACCCGCAGATTGCGGTGACAATCGATAGATGAACGTGAGCTCTTCCATTCTTTACGAGAGAGAGAGCAGCGTACAAGCGTCCTAGTCGGTTAGGGTTAGGGTTAGCACTGCTGCGAGTATATGCGCGCGTACACACACACACTGACGTTTGCACTGCATGATCGCACACGGAGGTAGGCGCACGGGCGACCGGTAGCACCGGTAGCATGATACATCACATGTTGGCTGCCTTGTCGCGCGCGCCCCGCGCTCACTGTTTCCGCTCACGTAAACAATGCTTGTGTTGTATGTGCGTGCGTGCGTGTGCGTGCGTGCGTGCGTGTGTGTGTGTGTGTGTGTGTGTGTGTGTGTGTGTGTGTGTGTGTGTGTGTGTGTGTGTGTGTGTGTGTGTGTGCCTCTCTCTCTCTCTCTCTCTCTCTCTCTCTTGCTCTCTTCTCCCTCTGTCTCTATCTTTACCTCATCTTCACTTTCTATCCCCCACTCTTCCTCCACTCTTACCCGTCTTGCCTCTGTCCGCTCGTCGGCGGTTCAAGTCGGAAGTAGTCAGACTCCTCACTCAATGAGAGATCGACTTGCTTACGGGCCTGGGACCGAGTACTTACTAATCAATACAAGTTGACAATCATCGATCATGGCGAGGTTCGTTCGACTGCCGTAGTAATTTTGCGCTCACACGGAAGCAAGACGTCTGCCTCTGGAATACGCCGCATACACGCATGCATGCGTTCAATCACTCACAGACACATCGCTCCCAACACAACGTCGGTACGCACTAGCCGCGAGATGGCGCTTACCCTCTGATGTAGCCGCAAGATGGCGCTTACCCTCTGATGTAGCCGCGAGATGGCGCTTACTCTCTGATGTAGCAGCGCGTGGGGTACCTACCGTGAGTGGAACATGGAAGAGCAGGTAGTCGACGACGACCAGTGTGACGACGAGTCCCCACTGGTCAAGCGTCGCTATCGGGTCTCCGTCCGCCTCCGGTCCGCGTCCGTGACTCCCGTTGCGTCTCTCCCAGCTTCCATCAACACCCTCTTCTAAGCGGAGGGTGAGTTTTGAGGTAGAGCTGGTGACGTCACCCGTCGCCGAGCGGTGTTCGACGATGCCTCGACCGTCGAACTTTGACCCCGCCGCCCGCAGCGCAACGCCCTCGCTGTGGCGGGCCGCCCTCAACCCGCGCACTGCCCCGCAGAGCAGCGCAGCGCCGCCGAAAGTCGCCACCAGGAGAAGCGCGTAGATGGCGACGGCGAAGGCGGCGTAGCCGAACGAGAAGTCGTAGAGGAGGAACTGGCAGTGGTCGGTGTCGCCGCGGTCGCGCAGGAACGTCGGCACGGCGCCGACGAAGCCGCAGGCGACGGCCGTCGCTCCGATGTGATAGCGCACCTGCGCCTGATTCACGAAGTACTTGTACCTGCGGGCGGCACGACCACGATTAGCGTCGTTTGTCATCTGCCCCGTCGACGAACTCGTTTAAACTGCAGCGGGAGGTGGAGTCGTCGTGCCGACGAGCTGGCTTAGGGGTAGGGAGAGGGGGGAGGGGGGTAATCACACAGAGAGCATTAGTACTCTATGAGACAGGCTCGTTAGCCTAGAAGATTCGGGAGGGGGTGATAGAATGATAGGATGAGCTCGTATTGAGTGTGAGCACGTGTATATGATGTTGTTTGAACGTACTGGAGACCAGCTAGCATGTGCTTAATCCAGCCAACCTTCACCTATAGCCTACATACTTATATCGCGCCACAATATCCGACAAGCACATATATCGATCGTCAAGCTCTCGCTGATTTTAAGCCCCTCCCCTCTTCCCAACAATAAAATAGTGTAAAGAAAATCACCTTAAATCACATTAAATCAACGAAAATCACCTTAAATCACCTTAAATCAAGGAAAATCACCTAAAATCACCTTAAATTAAGGAAAATCACCTTAAATCACCTTAAATCAAGGAAAATCACCTAAAATCACCTTGCAGGAAAAGCCACGTTGCTTATAACTTTATACGAGTTATTTTACCCGAGCGCGGCAGCCCACTTCATCTAAGCCCCTGGTTCCCAATCGGGGGTACTAGTACCTCATGGGGTACCCGCGAACACCACAGGGGGTACCTGGGAAGCCTCTTAGACAATTAAAAATGTAGTGCGCTAATATAATAATCAGCGGGTGATTCAGGCATCTCTATCGACATCGGCTTGGATGGTGAAAAATTCGCCGTGCGACTGCATTAATAAAACATAACATGATCGTCAAAATATTCATGACAATACATCAGTGTTGCGTTCTTCATTTTGCTTATGGTGGGCGAAAGGGTACAGGAGATAGCGTAAAAAAATTAGGGGCACGGGGAGTCCAAAAGGTTGGAACCACTGATCTAAGCAATGACTTACCTGAACTCCCAGTGGACGGCGTAGATTCGATCCAAGATGGCGGACGCGGCCGTTGCCGCCTGTAGGAATACGACAGGCCGTGAGCTCAGGTTAGGCCCCGCATAGCTGCGGCAGCCACTCCCACCTCATCACCTGCACGAACGAGTAGATGACCCGGAAGGAACGCGCCGATCCCCGCCTCGACGGCAGCAGCGACAGTACGAACTTCTGCACCGACCGACAGTCGCTGTTCACCTTACACCTGCCGACGACGACGCCGACGACGACGCTGACGATGACGACGAGTCCGGGAGACGCGACCAGTGCGACGTTGCTGTACCACAGCACCGCGTCGCTGACCGAACCCCGACATGACAGCGAAATATCGGCTGTCAACTAACAACACCGTCACCGCCGCACACCCCCACACACACCTCGGCGACGCACGCGGTAAGCTTCCTCGCTACTGTAGCGCACTCTTGTGGCAAGCAGGAAACACGACGCGAGTGCGCGGTCACGTCTGTCGCGTGGACATACCAGCCGCGCGTAGGTGACAACGCCTAACGACGACAGAGAGCGCCGTGGCGACTGCTGCGGTTACATGAAACAGGCGACAATAGACGGTGTGAGGGAGTGTCCAACCAGCACACTACCCTCTCTCCTCTCTCTCTGTCTCTCTGTCCTGCTCCTCTGCCTCCTCCTCTCTCTCTTGTCTCTCTGTCTGTCTCTCTCCTCATTCTCTCTCTCTCTCTCTCTCTCTGCCTCTCTCTAGTCTCTGCTCTCTCATCCCTCGCTCTCGCTAATCGCACTCTCGTCTCTCACCCCACCATGCTGCACACCCGCAGATTGCGGTGACCTAATCGATAGATGAATCGTGAGCTCTTTCCATTCTTTCAGCGAGAGCGAGAGGCAGCGTCACCAAGCGTCTAGTCGTTAGGTTAGGGTTAGCACTTGCTGCGAGTATAAATGCGCGCGTAACTACACACGACACTGACGTTTGCACTGGCAATGAATCGCACACGGAGGTAGGCGACGGCGACCGTTAGCAACGGCGGTAGCATGCTCCATCACAATGTTGGCCATGCCTTGTCGCGCGCGCCCAGCGCGCTCACTGTTTTCCGCTCACGAGTAAACAATGCTTGGTTGTATGTGGCGGTGCGGCGTGCGTACGTGGCGTGCGTGCGTGCGTGAGTGTGTGTGTGTGTGTGTGTGTGTGTGTGTGTGTGTGCGCGGCGAGCGCCGCGTGTGTGGTTGTTGGTGTGTGTGTGGTGTGTGGCGTTGCGGTGCGTGGTGTGTGTGTGGGTGTGTGTGTGTGTGCGTGTGTGTGTGTGTGTGTGTCGCGTGTGTGGCGCTGTGCGTGCGTGCGTGCGTGTGTATAAGGTTGTGTGCGTATGTGTCTATTGCCAAGGATTTTATATACGAGAGAGAGAGAGAGAGAGATGAAGCATAAAGAGACGTGAGGAAGTGGAGAGTGGCGAAATGTTTAGGAAAGAAATAGACGCGATAGACAGTTTATAGCTTGCGCAATGTACCTATAAATATATTACAATATATATTATATATAATATATATTATATATATAATATATATATATGGCTATATATATTCTCTGGTATGTGTGTCTCTCTCTCTCTCTCTCTCTTCATCCTCCTCGCTCTCTCTCTCCTCTCTTCTCTCTCTCTCTTCTCTCTCTCTCTCTCTCTCTCATCCTCTCTCTATTCTCTCTTCTCGTCTCTCTCTCTCTCTCTCCTCTGCTCTCTCTCTCTCTCTCTCTCCTCTCTTCTCTCTCTCGTGCTCTCTCTCTCTCTCTCCTCTCGCTCTCCCCTCTCTCTCATCTCCTCATCTCTCTCTCTCCCTCCTCTCTTCTCTCTCTTCTCTCTCTCCTCTCTCTCTCTCCTCCTTCTCTCTCTCCTCTCCTCTCTCTCTCTCTCTCTCTCTCCTCTCTCTCCTCTAATCTCTCTCTCTTCCTCTCTCTCTCTCTCTC